GACCTTTGACCTCTCGACCTGGAGCACCTTTCAGATCGTCCTTTTCCTGGACCGCATGCTGGACCACTCGCCGCTGCCGCACAGTAAGTCGCCATAGAAACACTGCAACACATCATTCAGAGCCTGCAATAATCTGCTCGAGTGCAAAGTACTCGAGTATTTGTACTCCGCAGCATGAAACATACGAGTACTGATGAAAGGGATCATGTGACTTCCTGTTTGCTGCAAATGGTCGGTGACGAGGACGTTTCTCAGTACTCGAGTACGCAAGTCTGCACTGACGTCCTCGCTAGTTCACACGGGAGTTCGGACTTCCCGAGAACGCAGCGCGATCGTTCTGCTATTGGAACGGCAGTGTGCGTGATGACATCACAGCTCCACCCCCTCTTAATTTAACTGTTACACATGATGCAGCAGATTTACTTCAGGAAAAAGATATTTCAGAATCTTCAGCACAGATCATCTGTTTCATACGGGCGCCATGTCTCCCCATCAGCATCGTAAACACTCAGGACAGACATCAGATCATTGTTGGAGCAGCGTTCAGGATCTCCACGCATCAGCTCGCCGTTTCTGCTCCCGGTGAAACTGCTTCCTCCTGAATTTAAATATTTTAATGTTCGATTTGTTACTTTGACGGGAAAAGTACACACGTACACACAAGTACACACAAGTACACACACGTACACACACGTACACACAAGTACACACAAGTACACACAAGTACACACACGTACACACACGTACAGATACTGAGAAACGGCCTTGATGTTCCTCACCGCGCAGAACACAGGAAGTGATGTGACAGGTGTTCAGTGATGAATGATGATGTCACTGCGCAGGTGTGATGGCGAGCCTGTCGGACTCGTACTCGTCGCTGTTCGACGGGCTGAACGCCGAGGTGCAGATCCGCTGGCTGCAGATGGTGGTGAGGAACAGCTTCTACCCCGACCTGCCGCGAGTGCGAGCCTTCCTGCACAAACACGTAAGTTCCGCCCACCTGCCTGCTGCGACGTTCAGCCAATCAGAACAGACGTAGTTTTAAGGGGGTCGCTCAGCTACTCTGTCACATGTTTCCCCCTCCCTCTCCGCAGACGTCCAGGATGTACACGGTGCCGCTGTATGAGGACCTGGTTGCTGGGGTGATGAAGTGTGTTGCCGTGGAGATCTTCTACCAGACACAGCGGCGGCTGCACCCGAACCTCAGACGCACGCTGCAGCAAATCCTGTTCCAGACCAGCTCGACCAATCAGAATGGCTCCGCTCTGCCTCCCTCCTCCGGCTCCACCCCCCCGCAGGAGCCGACTGCTGCCGTGGCGACTTCCTCCCCTGGCGGAGCCGCCGGGACAACTGCCACCATTGCTCTGCGTGATGTCAACGTCTCGGCGTGATGCCCGGACTACAGGAAGTAGAAACAATCAACAGGAAGCCTCACTCCAGATGTTTTAAAAGGTTTGATGTGGGTCAAAGGTCACTGCTTGAAAGCTTGGCCTGTGTCCGGCGAGGAGGGCCCTGGTTGGACCCTAGAGTGTTTTTATGCGACTGACGACAGAGCAGAGGTCAGGTCGTTCTTCTTCTCAGCTTCTGGCAGAAACGCGCCGCCAGAGCGGCGTCGCGTAATCAGGTTGCGTTCGTGCTAACTCGCTCAGCGACTAGGCTGTGTGGGCGGAGTTCGACCGGGCAGGGACGGAGACGCCATGCTTGCTGATGATTCAGTGAGAAAAACATTTCAGCCTTACGCTCGTTCTCTGCCCGTGCGCTCACTGCTGGTTGGTTTCGCCGTGAGTGCCTTTGCCTTGTTGAAGTCTCTGCCCCGTCACTGTGTGGGCGGAGCCTCTGTGACAGTGTTTAAACTCTACCTCCGCTTGTGTGGACTCACCTGAAGGACCTCAGAACACCAGCAGATCACCTTAACGCTGCCTTCGTGCAGCTGGGAACACGCAGCCTTCTGTCTGTCTGGGCTCTGAGACGTCCCACCGACACTGAACGCCTCCTCGCTCTCTGAATGTTGAAGATAACGGTTGAAACCTCATGTTTACCTGACCTCTGACTAAACGAGCTCGTGTTGCCTGTTTGTTTTTACTGTTTTATGGACGTTTGTTTTTATGAACTGCTGACCCTTTAATAAACACGATATCCAATCAGAATCCATGAAGAAACCGAATGAATGCATCTTTTATTTATATTCATGAATTAGCGTGTCAATAACTGAAACTGTTTCCTGTTTGATCACGTGTTTGATTTACAATAAAATGATTGTCTCTATGGGTGCTTCTCTCTCAGATCAGGCCGGAAAAGTCGGACGTGTTAGGCGTTAGCTTGAAGGGGCATGAGTGCCGGAAGCTCTGAGGCCTTCCGTTCACAATAAAAGCTGGAGGAGCGGTCCGTTACAGGATGATTCAGCGGTTCGTTTGATCTCGTCCGAGCAGCGGAAGCAGGAAACGATCGTTCAGGAGTTGGATTCTGCTGTGAGCTCATGAATTCAGCCCGGAGAGGGACATGACGTCACGACCAGGACGGCGGGAAAAAGAAGCGTTTCTGGGTCGAGGACATTTGTTCTGTACCTTCAGGGAGTTTGAATATGCGGACCTACAAAATAAATTGGTAAACGTAATTAAAAATAAGATAAAATAACTAACATATAATTAATAAATAAAACTGAATAAGAACAAAAAGCCCCAAAAGAAACATGACCTTTAACGTGGAGATTGAACCTCTGACGTTGTGACGTAATAACGTGCAGGTGTGTGTGTGTCATCATTTCTCAGAGTCCAGATATTCTTTTTACTTTTGCCTGTGCACACTCAGCTCTTATTCTGAAAGGTCCGAGCGGAAGTGTGTGTTCGTGCGTGTGTGTGTCTTGACGGCGTCGGGAGGAGACGGAGCATCAGACCCGCAGGAGCTGGACCGACACATCTGGACCGAGAGCGAAATCTCGTGAACGGAGACGCGCACGAACGGAGCGCGGGCGCGCGGACAGGTGCACAGCTGTGTCTCCTCGGCGTCATCCCGTGACCGCCAAGCCGGGCTCGCGGGCATGGCGGAGGAGACCCGCGTCATCTACCACCTGGAGGACCAGGACACCCCCTACCTCGTCCGCATCAACGTGCCCGCGGAGCGCGTGACCCTGGCGGACTTTAAGCACGTGCTGAACAAACCCAACGTGAAATTTTTCTTCAAGTCCGTGGACGACGACTTCGGGTGAGTCACGTGGTCCGTCATTGATCCGCGATCGGGTGAGTGTATTGTTCCCGTCACGCGATGTTTGTTATTCTTAAAGTACAATCACCCTCCTGCGCATGTCAGGGTGGAGCAGCTGGAGCTGACCCTCAGCAGCAGCAGGACCTCAGACGCCTAACAGGGAGCCCCCCCCCACCTGTCCATGTGGAACAGGTGTTGTCCCCTCAAAGTTTGAGGTCAGAGGTCAGCCTGGAGCCACGCCTTTGGCGCCATCGGGGTGCTCCGTCCTCTTTGCAGTCTGACACTTGGAGAAACCCTAAGGTGGCGGCAGCAGAGCCCAGTCGGAGCCTGGTGCCGAGCTGCTCCACCCGATGCTGCACCTGTGGCCTCGGGGTCAAAGGTGGGCAAGTCCGCTGTACCGCACGTGTGCAGCAGCTGTAGTGGACAAGGTGGAGACTGGGTGGTTCTTCCTGACAGGAAGTTCTCTGGAGAACATCTCGCTCTGCTTCATCCACCCACGTTCCCCGTGACATCGGGCTCCACAGTCCACAGTCCAGCCTGTGTGTCAGTGCGAGCTCTCCATTTTTACTCATTTACTCTGAACCGCTGATGAAACAACTGTTTAATAATCTGAGCCTCTATAATCCCTGTGCACACACACACCCGCATGCACACATGCACACACACGCACGCACGCACACACACACACACGCAGGGCTTTTATGACACACTGTGCGGCTGCGTGGAGGTGGAGAGCTGGTTTCAGGTTTGGGGGATGGAGTCCGTGACTATGTGTCCTCACAACGACAGGCAGACCGGCACGTGTGTGTGACCCCTCTCAGCTGATGCTGCCATGATCGATCGATCTCCTCAGTATTGATCTGTGACTCTGAGTGTAACAAAGAGGAGGAGAACACCCGGCGGGGTTTGTGTCCCCGCCACAGCTGCAGTAATACTCAGATTGTGAATATGAGATGAACTCCGCCCACTTTAAACCCTCAGCGTTGTTGTCCTGATGTTAGTCCAGTTTGTTTGCTCTCTCCTTCTAATTGGTTGCCCCTCACAAATATGAGGTTTTGATAGCAGGTGGGTGTGGCTTTTGTATACCTGAGATGCCCACGTGTGCTATTAGATATATTTAGAGTACCTAAGTTTAATTTTCTTTCATGGCTAATCCTGATGTGTTACAGGGTGGTCAAAGAGGAGATCAGCGATGATGACGCCAGGCTGCCCTGTGTGAACGGACGGGTCGTCTGTTGGGTCAGTAACACACGAACACGGTACAGCTGAGTTTATGAGGACTGTTGATGATGATTAAGGACAAACTCTAAAATCGTTCCTTTGTCTCAAAACGACACAGTCAGCCAAAGCACACACCTGCAGCACACCTGCAGCACACCTGCAGGC